GTCGGGTTGCCTGAGGATGGGGGAATCAGGGGATGGAGCAGAGGGGAGGTGCTGGAGGTCGGAGGAGGAAAGAGCAAGGGGGAGTAGATGAGGTCGACGGTTGTGAGAAAAGAGAAGAACAGGGATGAGGAGGAGGTGTCGGTTGCTTGGTAGGGGTGGGGCGGTTCTGGTGGGAAAAGAGAGGAGAGCAGGAGAGGGGATGAAGGCGTGCGACTGCTTAGGAAGGGGAGGAGCTGGGTGTTGGCGACTAAGTAGGAGGAGGAGAGATGAAGTTGGCGGGTGAAGAAGAGAATACAGGGGGGTTTGTCGGCTGTTTGTGGCAGAGGTAAAAAGTCAGCCTAGGGTTTCACACCCAAGATTTCACACCAAATATCAGCTAACAAAATATTTCATTCAATTCTTCATTATTTTTTCGTTCTGATTACAACAATGCTTTTATAAAGCAATAACAAAATCTCTCAAAATCAATCAGATTCCTCAAATCACTCGGATACTAAAAACTGATTAAATACTAAACTTGACCCAAAATTCAAAATTCAAAAATTAAAATCCTACCAAAATAGAAAAATCCCTCAAATTTCCCACAATTAAAACTAAATTAAAACTAAATTAAGATCTAATCAAACTTGCCAAATCTTCCTTATTCAAAACTAAAATAAAAGAACGTCAAATAACAAATATGAAAATTGCCATTATTGTTCTCATCAACTAATGTGCTTGCCTTTAAATTCTCTGTACCTTGAAAGTGTCTAGAGTCTAAGCTGGGTCTTCTAGTATCGGTGCTATCTTTTTCATTGCTTTTTTTTTTGCATTATTTTGGAATTCGCATGGCTGAAATTTTCTTTTCTGTGTCATTCACAGATAATCACAATGCGTTGACAATTCTGAGCTTATGGGCACCAGTTTTCTGTGTGAGTATCATTTAACAGTAGAATGGGTTGTTAACATTTGTCTGTTATTTATGATATTGTTGAAAGTTGATCCTTAATGTATCGTTTTGTTACACCTGAGGTCCTGTGGACCACTATAGACTTTCAAGGTATATATGTTTTGAAAACTATCAGTGTACTTATTTTTGTTTCTCAGGAGAATAATTTTGCGCGACATAATTGCCACCTCCAGTAAAAAATGATATCTACCTATGTCCTTTTTTGCTTTATTGAGCTGAGTACAGTGATGCTACAACCACCATCTAGTATCTCACCAAATGATTCGTCTTTATTAACACAGATCCATAATATGTTAGTTGATTATTGTTTCTTTCTGCCTTGCCAGATTTGTAGTTTGGTTTATTATCATGCTTCTGCATCAACTAGTAACTGAGAGGGAATAGATGATGACTGTTTTTGCTAACAGGGAAATTATCGAATAAGCAGAAAGATTTTCGGTAGGGAAGAAAATTGATAAAAAAAGGAGAGGGGGCATTGGAAGTTCAAGACAAGAATCAGGGAGAATAGACAAAGCTTTTAAGAAGACAGATGTGAGAGCAGGGAAGCTCAGTGTTCTCTATCTTGAGCCCTCAATTTAAACATTAGCTTATGTTTTGACAAGTGCTTTAGCTCAGGATTATGGTCTGTATCTGTCATGCCCTGTCACCTAATTATGTATGGAAGGGCACGTGACAAGCCGACAGTGCTTGGTACTCCAAAAATCCCGATAAAAATACATACTAAAGCCTACGATCTAGTTATTTTTATTCTTTTATTTTAATTCTAGCTATACACATTCTAGATATCCTATTATTATTTTAATATTGAAAGGTAAAAGAAATTGAGTTTTAGACTTGAATATATGAAACATATGAATATTTCAATTTACTAACCTGTGGCTTGGGGTCCACCCAAAATACCTTTTAACATTGAGTGAGATCTGACTAAATGAGCCTGCAACCATCAGCGAAACCTGGTAAGAAGGAAAACAAACGCTTGGGATTGTCAGAGCAAATCCCAGTCAGTATCTTCAAGCGATTGAAGACAACTGAAAAAGACATGAATAGCAAAAGGAAGTAATTCAATGCTAGCTATTGCTATTGCACAATATAGTTAAAGGACAAGTAACCGACGTATGAGTAAGATGAATCACCATCAAGTGTGATAGAAACATTTGCATAACAATTAATTTATCACGATCCTAAACTCGTTGTCACTGTCAAGTGTGATAGAAATGTTTCATAACAGTTAATTTATCATGATTCTAAACACGTTGTGTGTGCCAACTAGTGCATCTCTATTTAGTGTTTAACTAATATGATCTTATTTGGACTGTAAAATCAGGAGACTTGGGTCAGAAGGGGGAAGAGCTGTCTTCTTGGCTATATGACAATTAACATGTCCCAGTATGGGTCCGCTTATCATGCCCCCATTCGGCTGATGATACCTGCAGTGACTATTCCCCCTTTAACCCACTATTTTATCCTATTAATTATGTATACAACATGTTATTCACTAGATTGCAATAACCTCAAATGCATTAAGAGCATTCACTGTCACTGTTATGGATCCATCGGCATCCATAATGGCCGCTATAACACCCATACCTGGAATTCCATGGACAACGAGCATTACATAGAAACCTTGTCTGTATCCATTGTTGGGACGTGCAGCTATACTAGTCTCATTGTTCGTGGATCGCCCCCTGATTCACCACGTTAACACTGAGCATCACACTACTCTCGTGTATATTCATAAGTTACCACATTATTCTATCATTCCGTCATTCATTATTTCATACCATTCCTATTTGTTATCATGTCAAAGACGCCCCCAACATCCCTTAGAACTCATCAGCATTTGGAATCACGTACATAGTCTCTAATATGTTTCTACACTAGGTTGTCTATTTAGTCTCTAATATGTTTCTACACTAGGTTGTCTATTTGTCAAACATTGATGTCAATAATAATTTTTTGATCAAAAGAATGTCATATGCAATTGTCTCGGGTCTGTATCATATCATTGAAACATCATGGAGCAATGTATGGACAAATAAACATGTGTAAGGACAGTTTGCAGGTTGGTTTGACCAACCACTCTGAAATGTAGATGTACCGCTTAGCCAGATTGCCAGGTCTGATTGGCAGTACGCCTGTCTGTCTGATCATTGGGAACCACTGACAGACAATCAATCTGTTGGACTAGCAGGCACCGCCCTGCTGTCTCCTCGTCGCTCCATCAATCATTCGGTCGCATCGCCTTCATTGTGTAAACATGTTTTTGTGTTCCTAAGCATTTTATACATATTTGGTTGTAGATATATAGATAAAAAATCAAAATCCTAGATCATACATCGATAAAATAGGATTTATGAATGCCTATATTGTATCGTGGGTAATCAAAGGTACAAGAAATTATTATTCTAGTGGCTGTTGCTGTTTCTTTGTTGACTTGAGCTACAATTACATTGATTGCAGTGTTACTTATCTTGGTGTGTATTAGCATTCTGCATGTCGATTTCTCTTAGAAAAGTTGTTTGACTTGGTTCTTTATTTCTTTGCAGGTTTATCTTTTAGATATACATATTTTCTACACCGTATTGTCTGCTGTTTGTGGGTTTCTACTTGGAGCCAGAGACCGCTTGGGGGAGGTGATTGTTTCTTTCTCTTTTTAGTTTAATTTGTTTTTCTGTATTTAATATTTTTAGATTTTTATTAGAAAATATCTTTTTCTAGTTTTTTTTCTTGTTCTTTTTTTTCATTTTACCTTCTTTCCTTTTGCCCTTATTCTTTGCTTATGGTTTCTGACTGCATGCATTATTGGAAAATATGTTTTAAGAATCTATTTATCATCTAGTTTGAAGTTTGACATGTACCATTTTCAATGGCATACTAATTTTCCTCGTCATCTACATCTTTGTGTTTTTAATACTTATTAGTATGCTATGCTCCCTACCTTTATTTTTCCTTGAAAGAACTGCATTTATTTAGTTTGTCTGGTTGGTGAGGGTTTTCCACTTGTGTCCTCTTTTCAGATTAGATCTGTAGAAGCTGTTCACATGCTTTTTGAGAAGTTTCCTTCTGCTTTTATGGATACTCTTCATGTCTCACTTCGCAAGAGGTAGTTAAATGTGACATTTTGTAGTTTTTATATCATTATGTTTAACTTTAAATAAATATTTTATTTGATTTTTCGTACAGGAAGGAATTAAGCTCTTCTAATCAGGTAATTGATATCTATAAAAGATAAGATTTCCCTATTCAATTCTGATTATTTCTTTATGATTGTTTATCACTTTGTACGGCTATCTTATTGTTTGTTTCTAGTAGAAATATGAGTTTCAGATTGAAACATTCAGATATCTCATTTTCATTTTCTCCTTGTTATAGTTTACCTATTTTTTGAGCATCACTACACTGTCATATACTCTAATATAATTTTTTGTGCTTGCCAGCATGTATAGGCGTGTGTTCACATATATGCACACGTGTGTGGATTAAAAGATGAGGTCAATATAACCTGGTTCGCTTTTCCTTTTATGATGCTCTTTTCTCATGATTTTATAATACATTGGTAGCTGCAAGATCGAGCTTCTTTAAATTTGTTGAAATAAATCTGCTCAGTTTAGATGCCAGAATTGAGTTACCTACGAGATGGATTTTGAGGTCTAGATGACAAGATAATTAAAAACCTTTCCTAGTAATACAATTCAATCATTATCAGAATAGTTATGTGTCTATTTTGAGAAAGTGGATAGTATATAAATGCATTTACCAAATCAACTTGAACTGTTGCCACATCATTCATGCATTAAAAATTTGACTTTTCAGTCCTTGATACATCTCTTTTGCATATCAGTATACATTAAATTTAGGATATATAAAAGGTGGGCTTTCATCTCGCTATAGATGAAAAATAGTACCACCCAACACCGTGCACAAGAGTTATATATATATATATATATATATATATATAATACTTGATACTACCTTTAAAAACATGAGTTCGGTAAAATCTTTCGGTAGACGAAAATACCCTCGGGACTCAAATACCAAACCATTATGATGAATTCTTATTTAATATATACATAGTAAAGTGTGAGTTTGATAAAAATATTCCATGGTAAATGTACATATTAAAAAATATGTCAACTACTAATAAATAGAACCAAAAAGCATATGAATTTCAGTTTGAAATTGTTATGCGTTACAAATATTATACGTTATCAAATGACATATTAACAAACACATCAATTACAACTCAATTCAGTTAGAAATTGTTTAGTGTTAATACGTGAACTAATAATAAAATAATAACAAATAAAATAATAACAAATACATTAACAATAAATGCAGTCGACCTCAACTAAACTAATTATATGAAATTTTTATCCCGCTTGATCCCATCCTAATCTCACGTACTAACAATTTCAAACTTCAACAAATTATATTATTTTTATCCAAATAAAACTCTATTTACGAATGTTAACCTCTCTCATGCAACATCTCATGCTTATATATACATGAACCAAGAATTACACAATTTTAATAGCGCTTTCGTCTCCTTCAACATATATGTCCTTTTATTGTCTTACACTTATTTTATTGTGTGTGTGTGTGTGAATGTCCATTTGAAATTGTTATCAGTTTCAGATATTTATCGAATTCTATATTAACAAATCGTCAATTACATCTCAATTCAGTTTGAAATTGTTTAGTGCTACTACCTGAACTAATAATAAATACATTAACAAATACATACAGTCAACCTCGATTAATTATATGAAATTTGTTATCCTCCTCTATCCTATCCTAATCTCACGTACTAAAAATTTTAAACTTCAACAAATTATATAATTGTTATCCAAATAAAACTCTATTTACAATTATTATCCTCTCACATGCAACATCTCATGTCTATACATATAAATCAAGAATAACACTATTTCAAAACACTTTCATCTCCTTCAATATGTATGTTCCTTTTTCGTCGTATGCTATTTTTCTTTGCAATTTTTGTAATAGCTTTTATTTCCCTTTTCTTGTTGTTGTTGTTGTTGTCTTTATTGATTAAAATTTTTCTTGAGTTATAACACTGGAAGTACCCCATAATTTTAGTAGCCTTTTCATATTTAGGTTTTTAATTTTCTGCAGCAAAGTTGGTATTTTTAGCATGTTTATTAGCAAGATTATTAGCATCTCTGTGATTTGATATTGTTATTGTCAAGTTTTCTTTGTTACAAATCGTTTCAATTAAGCCTTCAAATTGCTTTTGGGAGTTTTTTTTTAAAAAAGATATTTTTTGCTAAATAATTAGCAAAACCGACCGTTTGCTAATTATTTAGCAAAAACGACCTCTTTTTGGCAAACATGCTAAAAATGGTCGTTTTAAAAAACTGTCTATTCGAAACATATGGGATTGCTAGTCCCGTATGTTTAGTCGCCATTAATTGACGGCTAATACCACCCAGAAAACCTACGGGACTAGTAGTCCCGTAGATTTTGGGTGTGGTCTACATCACACCTAGCAAATCTACGGGTTGTTTAGGGCGTCTGCTTAACGTACGGGACTACTAGTCCCGTACGTTAAGCAGAAAGTTTCAGTACTAGTCCCGTGGATTTGCTGGACATCCTCTAAACATGCACAAAACATGCATATGCCTCTATTGCTACATATACAGTGTTTTTTGACCAAAAATTGCGCAAAATATAGCACCCATTTCGTATACATTGATATGCAATATAATATTTATAAAAGTTATAAATTTTAGAAATATAAATACCGGATAATAACACATTTAATCAATTCACAACATCACAACACAATAGATACGTCACATACATATCAACACGACAAAATACTCTAAACAAATCCAAATGTATCAAGTCTATCCATACGACAATATATACTCTAAGCTAAACAAATTCAAGTGTATCAAGTCTATCCATACGACAATATATAGTCTAAAAAGAAAAGCTAACAACCTAAAAGTCCACCCCTCCCCCGTTGTCTCCCTGTTCGCACCTGCTCAGATTGTCGGCGGCCTCCTTCGACTTGAGCTTGTATGTGCTCGCTCTCTGGTTGTGTGTGGGGCTGTGACAGACTAGCTTCATCGTCGTTCGTGCAAGATCTACCACGTCTTCGTCGGCGTGCATATAACCTCTCCTCATGCGCCATTTGCTCACGACCTTCATGCTAATCCTCATGAGTATGATGAAAAGCTCTACAAACCCTCGTCACTATCCGATGCAATATCGATACATGCACTGAATCTCTTGTGGCGGTAGCTATGCCCTCATTTACAATCCCTTCTATCTCGTCCATAACGTTTATCTACAATTATATAAAAAATATAATAATATATAAGCAACCAAAAGCTAACAAGAGATTGAAAAAACTATTCTAATTTACGCAATTAACTTACCCATTCTCTCTCATCTACACCTCTTGGTACATATCTTGCTTGTTGGGAGCTTATATCAATTTCATCGACTAGAGGCGTGGTTTGAGGGATTATCCACCGTCTGGTAATTCCCCAATACCATCTAATGTAATCGATTTCTTCCATCGAGGGATAAAGCTGCTCGACAATAAGTTGATGCCGATCATTCCATCTAGCAATGTATGGATGATGCACATGCCGCCAATCAATTTGATGCCTACTCTTAAACGTCTTTCTCTCTATTTATTCGACATATTATGGAGCGTGCTGTGCGAAACCAAACTGTCTAAGCACGCGATCTGACACGTGCATCTCTACAATTTCAAAACAAATGAGAGAAACTCTGGCTCTCCATATACCGTGTCCCTCCATACAAATCAGTGATAAACGAGATAGGTAAGGTGTGTATGACTGCCTCTCGAACTACAAAATATTTCATATATTAATAACTCTTTGAAATACAACGGTAGCTTTAAATAACTTAAATTCAAATTTGATACCTGATAAATTTTTATCCGGTCGAGCTCTCCTCTGTAAAAATCTAACTGTCTTGCCAGGGCCTCGTCATAGCATTTTTGGACATTACATCTGCATGTATGATATAAGGTAGGTTCTAGTCCTGAATTTAAAAGTTAAAATTATTATTTTTATTAATTAAATTCGATTTTTTTTACCTGCAACCTTGTAGAATCTGTCCATCTAAATTTTGCGTCTCTGTAATAAACTTTTATTAGGTTTTTTCCTAACAGCTGCATTAAGCTTCCATTGATACTTCGATTTCTCTCGTCTTGAGCACTTGTATACTCTCTTTGAGCTTTCTCGTTGAAGTAGCACTTTACATAGCAGCTAGTTGTATTGGTTTTCACCGGTTTGAATTTGACCCGATTCTTGATTGCCCATTCACGTATAGCGAAAACTAAGGTTTTCTTATTCTCGAAAAGATCTCCTTTTTTAAAAGTGAAGTCCTTGGGTCGATCGAAATTAGAACTAAGCTCAACGAACTCAGCTTGTGAGGCATTTATCCACTCCTCATTTTGAAACTCTTCTGATAACGATTCTTCAGACTCTACATAATCGTTGTTTACACAATATTCATCCATCCAACGAGCGTCATTATCGGTTCCTCCAATTGCACACTTCATACTATCAAGATGTTCCTCCTCTTCAACATCTTTATAATCATCATATGCATATGCATCCTCATTCTCATCCTTTTCTCTAATAGAACCAACCGGTAAATTAACTGAAACATTGACCCAACGCGTTGTGGAACACGTTGTTTGACATTGCACCCGATTCATTTTCTAAGTGCAAGACACTTTGAGAGAATGAAATTTGATTTTCAAGCATGCTGGAGAACTCTCCATGACCATATGAAGCTTTGGCAACCCTAGATATTAGAATATTTTCAATGAACAATTCGATTGAGATTTGCTTTTTCGCAAGTTGTATCATGTCACTCAATTCTTGATCATTGTTGATCTCTATAACAATTGTTCTATTTTTATTTATCAGACAATTACAGAAGACCTTAATGATATTTTCTGCATGATTAATTCTAGTAACTATATATTTGCTCCATCATTCTATCAAAATTGCAATTTCTAGATAACATGAACATTTTTCTAGATCATTGATGATCTCGACAACAATTGTTCTGTTTCCTTAATGACATTTTCTGCATGATTAGTTCTAGTAACTATATATTTGCTCCATCATTCTATCGAAATTGTAATTTCTAGATAACATGAACATTTTTCTAGATCATTGATGATCTTGACAA